AGATAAAATTTCTGGTTAAATTATTGTTAGTTGACTTTATTTAAAGGCTAACCAACCGAGTAAGATGGGTACATAAAGATAGGTAACTACTATAATAGTTTAAAAAAAAAAAAAAAAAAAAAAAAAAGTGTTCACAAGTTTTTCTTTTTTTTTTTTTCCTCTCATCAACTCCATAGTATTTGCCCATGATTTGATTATGGTGGTAAAACCAGGGGATGAAAAATGTATAATCTGACTTACAAAATCATATGACTAATTCTGACATGAAGACTATTAGTTATGTATGGTTAGAGAACGATCCTCTGCTTCTGATACGCTTATAAAGCGTTAGGGATGACAGGATAACATTTTGGTGCTTCTACCTCCACGAAAAGTCAGGTCTGTTGGATAAGGCAATAAATGGCTATAAATACTGAAAGATCTGTTTTTTTACGCTGTTACAATGAGTGTTTTTTAATTTTTACAGACACGTGCCGGAAACAAGCCAACTAACAAAATACTTAACAAATATTTGTTTAGCATCACAATTCCACCGACGACATGCTTGGCCTATCCGCAGCACGATGTTGCACGCATGACAGGCCAACATGGGATGCAGATAGGGGACGTAGTGCTAAAGCAAGAGTTCTGTAAGTCGTAGGAGGACAGGAATGAGGAAATATTCAAACTCTCTGTAGCGACCCTCCTTTGAGGCCGCCACTGTAACTAACTTTTTAACTTGTACTTACTGAAATTTCTTAAAATTTACGGAACATTTGAAGATGGCCGGCCAAGTGAAGAGAAAAGTGAAGGAAGAAATGTCATGATTTACTTTCAATCATTACTATCACATCAATCCTCTAGCACACTCAACATTTAACCAAAATTTTTGGCTATAAATCCTTGAAGATGGCCGGCCAAGTGAAGAGAAAAGTGAAGGAAGAAATGTCATGATTTACTTTCAATCATTACTATCACATCAATCCTCTAGCACACTCAACATTTAACCAAAATTTTTGGCTATAAATCCTTGAAGATGGCCGGCCAAGTGAAGAGAAAAGTGAAGGAAGAAATGTCATGATTTACTTTCAATCATTACTATCACATCAATCCTCTAGCACACTCAACATTTAACCAAAATTTTTGGCTATAAATCCTTGAAGATGGCCGGCCAAGTGAAGAGAAAAGTGAAGGAAGAAATGTCATGATTTACTTTCAATCATTACTATCACATCAATCCTCTAGCACACTCAACATTTAACCAAAATTTTTGGCTATAAATCCTTGAAGATGGCCGGCCAAGTGAAGAGAAAAGTGAAGGAAGAAATGTCATGATTTACTTTCAATCATTACTATCACATCAATCCTCTAGCACACTCAACATTTAACCAAAATTTTTGGCTATAAATCCTTGAAGATGGCCGGCCAAGTGAAGAGAAAAGTGAAGGAAGAAATGTCATGATTTACTTTCAATCATTACTATCACATCAATCCTCTAGCACACTCAACATTTAACCAAAATTTTTGGCTATAAATCCTTGAAGATGGCCGGCCAAGTGAAGAGAAAAGTGAAGGAAGAAATGTCATGATTTACTTTCAATCATTACTATCACATCAATCCTCTAGCACACTCAACATTTAACCAAAATTTTTGGCTATAAATCCTTGAAGATGGCCGGCCAAGTGAAGAGAAAAGTGAAGGAAGAAATGTCATGATTTACTTTCAATCATTACTATCACATCAATCCTCTAGCACACTCAACATTTAACCAAAATTTTTGGCTATAAATCCTTGAAGATGGCCGGCCAAGTGAAGAGAAAAGTGAAGGAAGAAATGTCATGATTTACTTTCAATCATTACTATCACATCAATCCTCTAGCACACTCAACATTTAACCAAAATTTTTGGCTATAAATCCTTGAAGATGGCCGGCCAAGTGAAGAGAAAAGTGAAGGAAGAAATGTCATGATTTACTTTCAATCATTACTATCACATCAATCCTCTAGCACACTCAACATTTAACCAAAATTTTTGGCTATAAATCCTTGAAGATGGCCGGCCAAGTGAAGAGAAAAGTGAAGGAAGAAATGTCATGATTTACTTTCAATCATTACTATCACATCAATCCTCTAGCACACTCAACATTTAACCAAAATTTTTGGCTATAAATCCTTGAAGATGGCCGGCCAAGTGAAGAGAAAAGTGAAGGAAGAAATGTCATGATTTACTTTCAATCATTACTATCACATCAATCCTCTAGCACACTCAACATTTAACCAAAATTTTTGGCTATAAATCCTTGAAGATGGCCGGCCAAGTGAAGAGAAAAGTGAAGGAAGAAATGTCATGATTTACTTTCAATCATTACTATCACATCAATCCTCTAGCACACTCAACATTTAACCAAAATTTTTGGCTATAAATCCTTGAAGATGGCCGGCCAAGTGAAGAGAAAAGTGAAGGAAGAAATGTCATGATTTACTTTCAATCATTACTATCACATCAATCCTCTAGCACACTCAACATTTAACCAAAATTTTTGGCTATAAATCCTTGAAGATGGCCGGCCAAGTGAAGAGAAAAGTGAAGGAAGAAATGTCATGATTTACTTTCAATCATTACTATCACATCAATCCTCTAGCACACTCAACATTTAACCAAAATTTTTGGCTATAAATCCTTGAAGATGGCCGGCCAAGTGAAGAGAAAAGTGAAGGAAGAAATGTCATGATTTACTTTCAATCATTACTATCACATCAATCCTCTAGCACACTCAACATTTAACCAAAATTTTTGGCTATAAATCCTTGAAGATGGCCGGCCAAGTGAAGAGAAAAGTGAAGGAAGAAATGTCATGATTTACTTTCAATCATTACTATCACATCAATCCTCTAGCACACTCAACATTTAACCAAAATTTTTGGCTATAAATCCTTGAAGATGGCCGGCCAAGTGAAGAGAAAAGTGAAGGAAGAAATGTCATGATTTACTTTCAATCATTACTATCACATCAATCCTCTAGCACACTCAACATTTAACCAAAATTTTTGGCTATAAATCCTTGAAGATGGCCGGCCAAGTGAAGAGAAAAGTGAAGGAAGAAATGTCATGATTTACTTTCAATCATTACTATCACATCAATCCTCTAGCACACTCAACATTTAACCAAAATTTTTGGCTATAAATCCTTGAAGATGGCCGGCCAAGTGAAGAGAAAAGTGAAGGAAGAAATGTCATGATTTACTTTCAATCATTACTATCACATCAATCCTCTAGCACACTCAACATTTAACCAAAATTTTTGGCTATAAATCCTTGAAGATGGCCGGCCAAGTGAAGAGAAAAGTGAAGGAAGAAATGTCATGATTTACTTTCAATCATTACTATCACATCAATCCTCTAGCACACTCAACATTTAACCAAAATTTTTGGCTATAAATCCTTGAAGATGGCCGGCCAAGTGAAGAGAAAAGTGAAGGAAGAAATGTCATGATTTACTTTCAATCATTACTATCACATCAATCCTCTAGCACACTCAACATTTAACCAAAATTTTGGGATATAAATCCCTAAGGATGGCCGGCCAAGTGAAGAGAAAAAGGAGAAAAAAAACTAATCATTAGTCCTATTCACCTCTCTCATCACATCTCATCAAATCACACACACTAACCTACCCCTTGTACTTTTGTCCATTCCCTTAAGTTACTCATTAAAACTGTCCAAAATCATACTGACAGTTATTTTCTCCTGTATACGGGTTCTGGATGCTAGGTTGTACTGTGCTGGGAGATTCTTAAAATTAAGATTCTCTAACTGTATCTATACTGGAAATTCTTCCGTTTTAAAGTACGGTGAGAATTTATCGATCGAATTTACTTGATCGGAAAAATGTGAACTTAACATGAAATCTGCTACAGAATTTAGGAATGCAGATGTTAATTCCATAAATCCTTCAATCACAAAATGTACATAGTATAATGATTTTCCAGGAAAATCCTTGACTTGAATACATGAATTATATTATTAAAATTATGGGATTTTTCTTGGTCACTACACTCTCTATCTTCTACAACGCTTTCATTTTCTTGCTTAGATCCAATTTGTGAGAAAATGCATTTGCAAGAGAAAATTTGAGTATGCAATCCCATAAATTTAATGAAAAGACTGTCGTATACTTACGCTTCATTGAGCAAAGCTACTCTAAATCGTTATCTTTTTAATTTTAATTTTAATTTTTTTGCTATTTTAACATGTGGTTGTTTGATCTTCTTTTCTTGGATCTCAATCTAGAGTTTCTATTCCTCTGGTGTTAGTAGAAGTTGTTATAGTAGTCGGTGCTTTGAATTAACCATTGATTATAACCTCTCATCCTTAAAAGGGGGGGAAAAAAAAGGCCCATGATTAGACTGATCTCAGATTAAACTCTTTAAATAAAATCTTTTCGTCTAATTGTGGCTATCTTTTGTATGTTCCTGTGGACTTAGTTCCTGATAAACTATCGCCCTTTAAGCTTGCTTTAAAAAAAAAAAAAAAAAGATACATATATATAGGATTTCCCTATTATAAAAAGATACATATACTTCTCGAGTCTACCAGCTGCAATGAAAACAACGTTTCTCTAATGGGAAAGAGAACAGCTTGTTCTCACATAATAAATGCTTGAAGTTGTGAAAGATATTTTAGAAACGATGCAAATTTCACTTAAAAAGAACTACTTATGTTCCAGCTTAATTAGCCGTAAATTATTGGTAACGGATGAAACTTTATTGAAAGAAACGTCCATTAATGATTATGCAAGTTTTCATGAACTACCAAGACTAGTATTGAAGTGAAATGAACGATGTGAAATCTAACAAAATTTTTTATTCTTGTTGACACATGATAATAAATAGATAATTGAATGCTAGTTGAGAAATCGTTTTCCTCATTAAATTGTACAATGATACATTGGACTTGGCATTGACTAACGTCTTGATCCCATGTAAACTAGTAAAACGCCTTGTCGTTAATTTGCTATACCTTCTCAAATTAGCTCAAAAATCAATGTTCTAAAATCAATGGCTGTTTCTCCTTTTTTGTTTATCTCTTTTACTTTCCTGTTTCTCTTGATTTCAGTTTCGTTTGAAGTCGATAGCATTAGTTCACTCCAATCTATCCGCGATGGCGAAACCTTGGATTCAAGTGGAGGAAGGTTTCAGCTTGGTTTCTTCAGCCCCGGCAATTCCAAGAATCGTTACTTGGGAATTTGGTACAAGAAAGTTCCGGTTCAAACTGTTGTGTGGGTTGCTAACCGATGCAACCCGATTCATGATCTCTCCGGCTTGTTGACTATAAACAGCACAGGTAATGTTGAGCTTTTGTATCGGAACAAAAGTAGTGTTGTTTGGTCTACAAGATCATTCAAAGAACCCAAGAAACCAATTCTAGTTCTCCTAGATACAGGAAATTTAGTGCTGAATGATAACAGTACTAGTAGTACAACTACTCCGGAGAGTTATTTGTGGCAAAGCTTTGATTATCCTTCTGATACGTTGTTGCCTGGAATGAAGCTGGGATGGAATTTTCAGGCGGGTCTAAAGCGGAGTCTATCAGCTTGGAAGAACTTGAATGACCCTTGTCCTGGAAATTTTAGTTATGGATTTGAGTTTGAACATCAGGCCTCCCCTGAAGTTTACATGATGAAGGGCACTGCAAAATATTATCGTTCTGGCCCATGGAATGGCCTACGTTTCAGTGGTGTCCCGGAGCTTATTGCCAATCCGGTCTATGACTTCCAGTATGTTTACGATGATCGCGAGTTGTATTACATGTACAACCTCATGATTGAAAGAGAAGTCCTCACAAGAATAGTCCTGAACGAAACCAGTAGCTTGCGCCAACGATACGTGTGGCTAGAAGGAAATCATACTTGGCGGCGTTTTTCTTCGGCGCCAATGACTGATTGTGACAAGTATGGCTTCTGTGGAGCCAATGGAAGTTGTGTCATGCGTAAGAATGTTCCTACATGCCATTGCCTTAAAGGATTCAAGCCTAGCAATCAGGAGAAATGGGATTCATCGGACTGGTCGGGAGGATGTGTTCGAAAAACTCCATTGAGCTGCCAGGATAAAGATAAAGATGAGTTTATCATAGTTGGGGGCTTGAAACTACCAGAGACAACACATTCTTTGGTGAACCGAAGCTTAAATCTAATGGAATGTAGGGCCAAATGCTTGAGAAACTGTTCTTGTGTGGCTTATTCCAACTTGGACATTAGAGGACAAGGCAGTGGATGCATCATGTGGTTCGGTGATCTATTAGATATTAGAGAGTTCCCTTCAAATGGACAGAATTTATATCTTCGTATTTCGGCTTCTGAGCTAGGTATGAATTTCCTTTCAAAGTCATTAAAATTCTCGATTTCCAAGTTTTTCTTCGAGTTCAATTTGATTTTTTTCCCCCCTTTCGCTGTCCAAATTACTGACAACAAAGGAAAAGCGAACGGTTATAAGCGGACAGTTGTGATAATCACAGCTGTTATTGGAAGTGTTTCTGTGATGCTGCTCTTTGTTTGCTATTGCATGTACAGGAGAAGATGCTCTAAAGGTATGGTTACTCTTTACTCTGATCATCTTGGAAAAGCTTTATAAAGCAATTGTATACTTTTAAGATCATCCCATCGTAGTAAAAGGCAAATTTATAGGAAAATATTTAGGCTTTTTTCCACGACTTTCTTGCGAAAATAGTCTAGTTCACAGTGCGAGAAATTCTCAAACAAGCCTATAATAGACTTGAATGAAGTTTTTGTTGCACATTAAGTTGGTCATTTCAAAATTGTGACATGATTAGAATAAATTCTCAACTTAGCTTTAACACCGTATGGCCCTTAGCATTTACTAATTTTGGTTAATTATATCCCTGTAACATGCCTAGACACTTGGGAAACAGAGCCAAGTTTACTTGAATTGCTTGATTTATAATTCTATATATTATTAGTTAAGACATGTTTAACTTAAAAGGTGTAGAAGGATCAAGGAATAATGTCTCAATCATTTATAAGTACCAATCATATGTGCAAATAGATTTTCTACTTTCGATGGTCTTGATCCTACTACCTTGTTAGAGCTGTGGGTGATCATTCGTATGGCCCTTATTTTTAGTGAACTATATATATACATACATACACATACATATATATATATATATGTATGTATATATATATTTGAGAAAGAAAGGATCCGATCAACGTGTATCAAATTACCTTCCCTTACCCTTATCAATAGCCGCCAGAGAAAGAAAACAGTACAACACAGAGGGAAAGGACGACTTGGAGCTCCCACTTTTTGACTTGGCCACAATAGCCACTGCCACGGAGAACTTTGCAGACGATAACAAGCTTGGACAAGGCGGTTTCGGACCTGTTTACAAGGTAAATTATCATCTTTTACACGTTAGGAACTAGCACAAAAATATTGTAGCCTTTCACTAAATGAAGATGCAATTTCCAGGGAATACTAAAAGATGGACAAGAAATCGCAGTGAAGAGGCTTTCGAGAAGTTCTGGCCAAGGATTGAATGAGTTCAAGAATGAAGTTATACTTATTGCCAAACTCCAACATAGAAATCTTGTGAGGCTTCTTGGATGTTGCATTCAAGGGGAGGAAAAGTTGCTGCTTTATGAATACATGCCCAACAGAAGCCTTAACTTCTTTATTTTCGGTTTGAATCCTTTAAAACCTACATTATTTTTCACAAATTTTCGCACTATTGTATGACAGCTCTTTTTGGTACTTACTACTGCGAGAATAGTTGGAAGATTGACTAAATATAGTTTTCTCAACATTGACAGATGAAACGAGAAAGAAGTTGCTAGATTGGCCTAAGCGCTTCAAAATTATATGTGGCATTGCTCGGGGACTTTTGTATCTTCATCAAGATTCGAGATTGAGAATTATACATAGAGATCTCAAAGCTGGTAATGTTTTACTTGATAATGAGATGAACCCCAAAATTTCGGACTTTGGTATGGCTAAACTTTTCGGAGGAAATCAGACGGAAGGAAACACAACCAGAGTGGTGGGAACATAGTAAGTTTGCCAAGCATTAACCATCCACTAATCCATCGCTTGTTGGCATTGCTTCTTAATTAACAACTTAAATGATTATCACATTCTGCAGTGGTTACATGGCACCTGAATATGCAAGTGATGGGCTATTTTCGGTAAAATCTGACGTATTTAGCTTTGGCATATTGGTGTTGGAGATCATAAGTGGGAAGAAAAACAGGGGATTTTTTCATCGGGATGACAGCCTTAACCTCACAGGACATGTAAGTACATTCATAACTTGTTAAATATTTTGGCCACATAGTTACTGAAATGAGATTTTGGGTTCTGTTATTTTATTTTTAGGTATGGAGATTATGGAATGAGGGAAATTCCTTAGAACTGATTGACGAATGTTTAGCGGAGTCATGTTATGAACCAGAAGTGCTACGTTGTATCCATATTGGTCTCTTGTGCATCCAGCAGTGTCCAGAGGATAGACCATGCATGGCGTCTGTGGTTGTAATGTTTGGAAGTCAAAGTTCATTGGATCCACCTAAACAACCAGGTTTCTTCATTCAAAAAGAGCCGCTCGAATTCGATGCAGTGAATTCTTCATCGTACAAACAAGAATCCTCGTCAAAAAACGAAGTAACCATTACGCTTTTGGAGGCTCGATAAGCATCTATTCGTTGTGACGGACACAAAGAAATTTGTTATTTTGGTCTATTTGTACTCTGCTCGGTCTTTAGTACTGTCTTCCACTATTTTGATTACATATTTGTGGTAGAAAGCTTGCGTAACAAAAAGTTTGTGCAATCTCCATGTATACTTTATCCACGTAACTGGTCAAAAGTACTTGATGAAATGGACAAGCAAGAATATATCCATAATCCATTATCCGAATCATTACTTCCGAATGCCAGTGAATGCACAAAATGGTAGCGTGTTGATTAGAAAGCTTGTAGATTAAAAGTTCACAAAACCTCTCATTTAATCTCTTATAAATTCACCACGTATGGATCCGGATAGAAGAAGAAAAGCAAGAGAAGTCATCAGTTAAATTACTAAAGTAATGTACGAATATATCATGCATACTTGCATCATAGTACAAGTTCAGGATCATCATCTTTTTTTGGATCAACTTCATTTTCTGCATCATTGTAGCCATTTTCTGGATTAAAAATGAAACTTTAAGCCAAGGACGATGATGTTATGAGCGAGATTGCAGAAAATAAACACATGATAAGAATATCTTACATCAAAAATGTTTTCATACTCCTCCAAGAGTGTCACAATGATTGCTTGAGCACTCGTAGCAACATCTGTAGCAGCAAGAAGCTGGGCAGAATTACATATCCAATTCACATTCACCAGCTAATAAAGGGCGGCATAAAAGCAAGGGTTGCTATAATCACTACAACAAAAAAAGATTATTTGCGACGACGGAATGTCGTCGCAAATAACTATATTGTCGTCAGAAATATTATATTTGCAACGACATGTGATCGCAAAAAACTAGACTCAAATAATATATTTGCAACGACATAGTTTTGAGATGTCGTCGCTAATACATTAACGACGACGGTCATTGTGAATAAGTCATCATGAATGTTCTGTCAAACATGTCGTTGATGATGACGTGTCCTACCTTATTTCCGACAACAAATGTTGTCGCAAAATTTTTAAAACCTTTTGCGGCCATAGGCTTCAAAGTGTCGTCGCTAGTAATGTGAACTATTTGCGACGACATTTTAGATTAGTTGTCGCAAAAATTGTTTTTCTTTTTTTTAACCGCACTTTCCTAATAATATAAATTAAAATTTATAAATTAGAAGCAAATTTAACAATAAATTTGATATTGGTTAATAAAAGATTGATGTAAAATAGTCAACACAATAATAAAATAAGTCTTAAAATAAATTAATCAAGAAATACTAAAAATTATTGATAATAAGAAAACCAAAAACAGATATTTCAATCTCCTAAATTAGCGGCATCGTCGTCCTCATCCTCGTCTTCTTCATTTTGCTCAGGTGGCGGAGGAACCAACGGTTGGGGATGGTTAACTGGCAAGAAGTTGATGTTGGGATTTATTGAGCGCATGACTTCCATCATGATCTGCTGGTTGTCAAACATGTTGCATTGCTCAACGTAGAGGTTGTTCAGCCAGTTTTGGACATGCTTGGGCAAATTAACCAAAGACGACCTGTAATGCCTGAGAAAATCCCAGACCTTAAATAATACAATTTATTTATTTAAGCCAAGGATTTTCCTAGAAAATATTATGTGACTAAAGGATTTATGGAATTAATATCTGTATTCCTAAATTCTGTAGCAAATTTCATGTTAAGTTCATGTTTTCGATCAAGTAAATTCGATCGATAAATTCTCACCGTACTTTAAGGCGGAATAATTTTCAGTACAAGTATTTTTTGAGAATCTTAATTTCAAGAATCTCCAAACACAACATGATGTTAGCAGCGTAAAAAAAAAAAACGCACTGACATTTCTAAAGAAGAGAAAATCCTTAATTGCCAGACAGCTAGGTTAAAGTCACAAGATAAATACCCATAGTAGAAGGGCACAATGTGAGCTCGAGATTTGACACCGTCAGAAACAGCGTCATTCCCAAGATTTAATGCAGAAAAGTTAAATTTAGAATTTATTCAGTCTAGAATTAATTTCAAGACTTGAAACAGTTTAAGATATTACGCGAGTGACAATTTAATGTGATCCCTAAGTAGTCGGGAATTAATATTAAATTGTAAATAAGCAGTTGAAAAGGAATCGTCAGAAACTAGAATTTCCTGTCGGCTAAGTTACTTACCTACAGTCAGTATAATTTTTAGCAGTTTCAAGAGAAACTTAAGAGAGTGGACAAAAGTACAAGGGGTAGGATTTATTTTTCTCTCTCTCATTCTCCACTTGGCCGGCCATGTATAGTAGAAATAGAGCCAAAATTTGGCTAGTTAAGTGTGATAAAAGGTTACAAGTTATGGTGTGATGTGATGGTAGTGGTTGAAGGAGAATTAATGACAATTTTGCTTCTCCTTTTCTCCTTCCACAACCGGCCAAGAAAGGGGGGAATTTAACCAAAATTTGGTTGATTGAAGGAGTTGATGTGATGTTAAAAAATTATTTCCAAGTTGCCTATAAAAGGAACCATCATAGGATAAGCTTCATTTTTTTTCTCCTTTCCTTTTTCCCACACAAAAATCCGGCCATACACACCATTTCCTCTCAAATATTTTCTCCCACTCTCTCAATCTTGAGCCACTAGCACACCATAGAAGAAGAAGAAGGAGATCAAGGGATTCTAGGAGGAGACTAGTCAAGTATTCCTCTAAGGGTAAAGAAACTCTAAATCCTCTCATTCTCATGTTTTAGTGAAGTTTGAAATGTAGAAATATTCCTCTTAAATTTCCTTATACTCTTATAGTTCCAAGCCATTAACAAACCTTGGAGAAGAAGAGAAGGATCTAAATGGCTCTCAAGAAAGAGTTCTTCAAGGGTAACTTCTTGAACTCTTTTCAATTATTTTCTAGCAAAGTTTAAGTTTGAGAATCCATTTATGTAAATTGTGATTCTCAAGGAAATAAGTTGTAATAAGGGTGTGTGAGTTTTATGTTAGTTTTGTGAGTTTTGAGGTTAGTTTGATGGGGTATGTTTATAAGGGTGTGTGAGTTTTATGTTGGTTTTGTGAGTTTTGAGGTTAGTTTGATGTGGTATGTTTATGCTTAATCTAAGTTGCTTATTTTCGGATTAGAGGAAAAATTTTCCGGTGACTTTGACCGCGAAAATGAGGACCATAGAGTGAGATTTTTCAATGTTTTAAAGTTTGAACTTATAGCCCTGGATGTTTTGAACATTTTCGGTTACTATGACAAAACCTAATTTTAACTCTAAAACCAAGTTTGAAGCCATTTTGTAAAAACGGACAAGCTGTCCAACACAGTTTTGAAAAAAAAACTGGCAGCCACTGGTTTAGCCAAACGGGACCCTTAGAGGTTGAATCTCAATTTTTCACAAAAGTGACAATTTTATATTTTGATGAGAAGAAAAAATTTCATGAAGAAAAGATTTTCAAAATCTGACCCTAAGAGGTACTAAAACATAGATTCCCGAAACGGCACAGTTTTTGACTAAAACAGTTTCAAGAAAACAGCAGCTACGGTTTTCGGCCAAACGGGGCCTTTAGAGGCTGAATTTCAACTTTCACCAAAAACAACAATTTTAGATCTCGACGAGATGAGAAATTTTCATGAAGAACAAAATTTTGAAATCCAACTCTAAGATATAGTAAAATGCAGATTTTAGAAACTGCACAGTTTTTAACGAGACAAAACTAAAACAGTGTCGGTTTCAACAAAAAGTTATAAAAGAACCCGAGATGGAATTTCAGTAAAATACAATGACATTAAACCTCATTTTAATGAAAGTATTCATAAAGAAAATTTTCAAGAAAAATACTTTCTTTAAAGAACATAGTGGGTTATCGAGCAAATCATCCCGACAGGCACCTACGAGCCCAACACGATAGGTCCTCAGGATTTCGAGGATTTGATGTGGGTCCAATGCCCGCATTGATTTAAGATACTCCGTTTGAGTTTAAATTTATGCGGCCTAAGAGTTAAAATGCCGTGAATAAGTTTCCAGGCCGAATTGGGCCTTAATATTATAATAAGTCCAATGAGGAAAATTATAGAGAATAAGTTACTAGATAGGGTAAATGATTTTCAATCTAGACATAAGTATGTTAAGGGCAATTAAGGAAAATAAAATTTTGAGGATCTAATAAATTGATCCTTATAGTAAATTATCCTTCAGAAAATGAAAGGAATACATGCCTTAAAAAAAAAAAAGGGGGTTAGATTCCTGCATAAGTTGCTAAAATAGAATAGCAAACGACAGTTAATCTCACACTCTCAATGGGTGTTTATTTTCAGAAATAAGCAAGTAAGAGAATAGACT